CCAAGTAACTAGCTTGCTACAGTGTGTAAATTGTAGATGTTTGTAAAAGTAGTTGTTTTGGTAGTCGTTCACCTTGTTAAATCAGTGAGTTTAAATCCAGGTGTGCAGAATTACGTTTTTTAAGGTGTTACTGTAAACAAACGAGAAACTAGCACTAGTTGACATTGAAATGTATGCTTGTAGGATTCCCATTTTCAGCAGATAAATAATGAACCTGACTAACTGAATCCTGTGGTTAATTTAACAGTGTTGTTATTGTGTTCTCACAGCATCATGAAGCTGAATCCATTTGTAACATCCTCCCGCCGCAAGAACCGCAAGAGGCACTTCAATGCCCCCTCACACATCAGGAGGAAGATCATGTCCTCCCCTCTGTCCAAGGAGCTCCGACAGAAGTACAATGTGAGGTCCATGCCCATCCGCAAAGATGACGAAGTCCAGGTACCGTTTGTGTTTCTAATCATACATGTCTTTTGTATTAAAATTATAAGCTGCAGCATGTACTTACCTTTTTTTTTGTGGTCAGGTTGTCCGTGGACACTACAAAGGCCAGCAGATTGGCAAAGTAGTGCAAGTCTACAGGAAAAAGTACGTCATCTACATCGAGCGAGTGCAGAGAGAGAAGGCCAACGGAACCACAGTCCATGTCGGCATCCACCCCAGCAAGGTGAGAAACTGTTGTCTCGTCTGTGAAGGCTCTCAGGTCATCTTGGAGTGGGAGGTTTGATCCCAGGGTAACTAGACTTTAACAAAGTCCTGTTTCCTTTTGGGTGTAATTTTGAATGTTGTGTAGATTCTGACACGAGTGCAGCTGTCTCAATGGAAATAATAGTGATGTAAACACTTCTAGATTAAACTGAGGGTGCGTTCGAATTATCCCTCCTATCTCCTTTCACTATCCACTTTACCTTAACCCTGGAAGCATTTAATTGACGGCCATGTTAAGAGCCATTCAAATTCTCTGAAAGTTAAGGAAAGGTGGGTCAGTGCTTCCTTTACGAAAGGAGATGAGATATGACGCCCCACAATTCCTTGCGGCCGCAACATTTAAAGCGAGTCGCGCATCCGACCGTTCAGGAACATTAACGTTGATCGTAAAGTAACACAGATCATGTAAAGGATAAAAAGATCAAATACATTTTAAACCAGATGATGTTTTATTCAACGTATTTCATTCACTTAAGAATGTTTTGTGCAGTTGTACATTTGTATGCTTAAAACATTATGTGTAGGTTATATCTTGCAGAAATGTAACAATTAATTTCATACAATCATGTTGATGTTGATTTCTGATTGGACAGGAAGCTGATGGTTTCACATTTGTTACTTGTAGCCTGGTATTCTATATTTCTTTGTGGTAATTAGGATTATTTCACCGGTAAGAAGGCACAGGGGAAAGTTTTATAGATGCGTTTTTTGTAGTCCATTTTCTGAACATTGTAGTTTCAACACGGCAGACCCACATCATTAACCTCCACCGGCCCGTCACATTTAATGATGTCACCTAGTGGAAAATGTGGTCAGATTGTCAGAGCAACGAGATCGCCTTTCCCTCAGTCCTTTATGAATTCTCCTAACATCTTTCCTTGACCTCATGACGTTTTCCCGTGGTTAAGGTAAAGTGGATAGTGAAAGCAGATAGGAGGGACAATTCGAACGCATCCTGGGATTCTGTAGATGACATTAAATTTTGTGTGCTGTGTAGACTGTCACCTGTAATATGTCCTTGTTTTTGGTGTCACTAAGTCATATCTAAAGGAGCGCTTGCCCTGTGTTTCATGTATTTTACTGCTGAAATATCAGTATATTCATTTTTATTATACTTGAGAAGGTGTTTGGCTGACGTCCCAAACATTTTACAACGGTGGGATTTAAACAGCAATTACTTGTGGTGTGTCATGTTCACCCTTACTTTGAAACAACTCGGATCACAATTATTGTATCAAAGTGTGTGATGGGTGAAAGACCTGTACCACATTTTATAATCATCTACTACGTCAGGTGAACTGGTCTTTCAAATTTTGCTTTGGGGCTGTTTTTGATGTTACTTTATAATAGGGTTAGGGTCACTAAGTACATATCTTATCAGTGTTAAACATAAATTCTACTCTTTTACCCTCCATTAGTTTAACCAGCAATCCCCACTTCAGTACTCTAATGTACCGACTTGTATTTCATCACTGGTTATGATTTCTTGCATTGTCATTGTTGCGAGATTTGAACTTTGTCTTGGGATAGGAAAGATCAACACTGAAATCAGTTTTACTTTTAAAAAACCTTAATTTCTCTTTTTTATTGCAAAATGTGACCTCTCCATGAGAAACAAAAGCATCTCAAATATATAAATGGGACACTGTGTTAAACACCTTCCCAGAGACAGTCTACATGCAGTGTTTCAAACCATTTGAAGAAGAAATGCTGCCTTCATTAATCTTGTAGTTTTCCAAATATGAGATATAAAGTGTAGTTTTAGGAGATGTCTGGTTTGCATCTAATTTTAAGGAGTTTCTAGTTTTTGTTAACTAATAACTATGTTGAGCATAGAGCAGACAGACTAAACAATGACCACTTTTATTTAGCTATTTAAGTGGAATGATCCTGTTGATGTGCATCTTTGATCATTGTCACATTGTAATGATTTAATTTCTTTTCACACATGCTTATAACCTGCTGCCTTCATAACTCTGCACATCCTGACTTGCAGAAAAAGTGTGGACAATGTTCACCTGTTTACAGTAACCTTAATGACTTTAGTGCATGTGTGGAAGCTCATTAATGTCACACCTGGACATGAGCCTATACTGTTAATGTACCACCTTTACCTTTATCATAAAACAAAATCTGCTGTGAAAACATTTAAGAATTTCAACCTGAACAAAAAAATGTTCTTTTTTTATTGATACAATAATGCAACTGGTGCATTTATTTGTTCTTGGATAATTTCAATAAGATTTTGTTGGAAGTCGATGTGCTTTGAATATACTGAAGAGTCTCCACATGTGACTGAGGAAAGCTCTACACGGCAGAAGTTTTTTTTTGTGGGAAAGCAAACTAAAGCTTTCCTACCTTTTTAGTGATACTTTTATTAGTTAATTTTTCATAATTTCAATATTTCATGGCAACAGTATTGAGCGGTTCAGATCCAACAGAAACAACATTTTTAATTCAACATAACTGTTTTAGAAAGCTCCAACATTGAACAGGCATGTATGACACCTGGAGTCCTTAAAATTGTCAACTATAATTAATGGCTGCCTATTTTTAGGGAGATTTTAATTGCACCTACATGTTTATATTGTGGTATTGAAACAGAGGGAAAGGGTTTCCATGTCTGAAAGATGGTACTGGGATGTAAGTAACCTTTTGAGGACTGTACAGTATCCATTGCTGAATTTCATATGGCAACTAGTGAAGTCACAAAACCTTGTTTATGTGCCTCTTAATGAATTTGATAGTAGTTGCAAAGTACACTGTTTTTATTATTTACATAATTGCTACCAATGACAGTGAGAAGTGTCATGGCTTGTTTACCAACCAAGTTTTATTTATTTGCAGGTGGTTATCACCAGGCTAAAGCTGGACAAGGACCGCAAGAAGATCCTGGAGCGCAAGGCCAAGTCTCGCGCTGATGGAAAGGAGAAGGGCAAATACAAGGAGGAGACCATTGAGAAGATGCAGGAGTGAAATTGATCTTTTGATATCAATAAACTGTATAAATGGAGTTTACTTTGTCAGTGTCATGTTTTAGTTGTTTGCTCATTTGTAGGTATTTGTATTCCAAACATGCATACTTTGTAGAAGTAGTAATATATAATTGTACATCACTCATTACAGAAAACGTTATTGTGATTCGTTTGTTCAGAGCACAAATAACCATAATAATAATAATATGGTGCAATTGGTCAAAACCCACTGCTTAGGTGCATCTGCAAAATATCTTAACTTATTTTGGAGGTATTTGTTCATGCAGGACTTTTCTCTGGAGAAGCTAATACACCGGTACTAGTTGATAAATGGTGCCCTTCTGTTTGAGATGCTCACTACAGACTAAATTACAGTATTTTGGGACTGGTGGCTCTAAATCCTGTCCTTTGACTCTTGAAATATAAAAACATTTCAGAAAAATTAGCTTGGAAGTAGATAAGCCTGTCTATACACAGGAGCATGTGCCAATTTAAATTAAACATGACACTGGGCCTGTGTCAGAAAATGCTCCTTCAAGGGAACTGCAGTTTGCTTGAGTAAAATACTACTGATGGGTTCATGTGTTTATATAAAGATAATGAGTGTATCTATGTTTATGTTGTCAGTGAAGATAAATTTAAAAAATATTCACATTTAAGTGGGGCAATTTTAGATTAACTTTTGTACAGTTTCTGGCCTGGTTAAAGAGGTGTGTTTATATTTCAGTTCTTTTGGTTATCAAATGAGCAATGGGTGCAATTTTCTTGTTTCTACCACAGACTTTTATTACTATTACAAAAAACCTGAAATTCGTATATCAATATAACTTGGAAATTAAGCATAACATTTTGAAATAGTCAAAAGTCAATTTAATTTACCCCAAAATGTGAAGTTAAAACATGAATAATAAGGCATCTGGGTGAAAGTGAACGTACTGAAACAACCACAGACTAGATAATATGTTTCAGTCATAGGTATGGAGGATTAAAAGTGCCAAAATGATATGTATAAATATATAATTAATTAAATCATTAAATGTGTCATCAATTATTTAATATTGGAAATACATCAACAAATATATAAATAAATATATAATTATTTAATTAATTAAATGCATGTGTTCTTAAATAATTAATGAAACATTTAAGTAATGATTTAATAACAAATGCATTTAATTGATTAAATAATTATATATTTACAACCAGGACGGAGTTTAGCTCCTCCCCCTCCGCTGGATGGTCATGGCTCCTCCCCCTCCGCTGGATGGTCATGGCTCCTCCCCCTCCGCTGGATGGTCATGGCTCCTCCCCCTCCGCTGGATGGTCATGTGATACAGCCTGGTCTTCGACGTCTTGTGGCTCCTCTCGCAGCTGAACTTTTACCAAAGTTTCTCCATTTAAAAGTTTGTTCCCGTGAGACATTCCTGGATTAAAATACACATCACCATGGCAGAGCTGGGTTTTGTGATCGCCATGTCGGTAATGACTCTGTTTTGGGGTATTATCGGAGGAGTAGTGCCCTGGTTCATCCCCAAAGGACCGAACAGAGGGTAGGTTTGTTAGCTTCACTTTAGAAGAAGCTAGCGGAGGAAAGTTTATATTTTGTATCGTCTCGTTCCTGTCATGTGATACAAGTTGACAACATTTGTGAGAAGTTTTTTTAACACAACTTTTGCAACATATCTTGTAAAATGTAATGAAATTAAACCCTGTAATCAAATGTTTATCTCTATTTAGGGAAAGTTTGGTATTAGCTCCCTGGAGCTAATTTGACAGCTCTTCCTTCAGTGCTACAAAAACTACAGCCATGTTAGCTTTAATGGTCACATTATTGACTTATGTCCTAAGTGTTATGTTGCTCATGTATTATTTTTAGACATAAACTCGGGTGTTAATATATTTCATGGTAGGAAAATGTGTCAAATACAACTTCCCTTATTCCCCTGTTTGTCACTCGCATCACGAGTTGTGCATGTCAATGAAAGGTCTGTGATGTTCTCCATCATACATGCAGACATCTGATGATAAATAAACATACTTAAAAGTATTCTCTTTCCACAGAGTGATAATCACAATGCTGGTGTTGACTGCAGTTTGCTGCTACCTCTTGTAAGTATAGTTTGTATCGTCTTTAAATGGTTCATCTTGACACCATAGAGGCCTGATGTGTCCCAATGCACTATACAGTCTATCTAATATCCAAGAGATGAAGCAGGATTTTCTGAACATTGTGTTGAGGTATTTTAGTTTAACATCATGTCTAGCATAAAGGAAGTGCAAGAATCAGGTCTACAACATTAAAAGACAAAATATTAGTCCATTGAATGAACATTTATTTTTATTGTGATCGTTACAAACAACAACACATTCCCTTGTTCCAACTTTGAATATTTGATCATTTCCTTTTCAGTTTCTTTTTTCAAAAATAGAAATAAAATCATAACAAGTTAAGGGGTCACTGACATTTTATTTTCAGACTGTTTTATAGGCAAAACGGTAAATACATTAAATAATTGGGAAATTAATCAATTCTGATATTTCTATTATTGCAGGTCATATGATAAACAGTGTAAACAATAAAAGTACTAGAGTTCCTCTTTGCTATTATGAACAGCTATTATTATGTATTTGGGTGGTGTTTAAATGTTTCTTGTACTCTTAACTAATTGTATGGACTACTATCTCAAAGTAAAGCTTGTTTTTGGAGTTTTTTTTACTCATTAGCAAATAGAGTACTGTGTTAAATAATTGACACACAATGAAGAGCAGCTGTGCAGAAAGAGTCATGTTTCATGTCAGATGGGCTGAAGAGTGCAGTGCTGTTACATCCAAGTTCATTTGTGAAAACCTATCAAGCAACTGGATGTTTAGTTATGACAAGCGTCTGCCTACATTTGTAGTTTTTGTGACAGTAGATAGAAAATGGCCCTCAGCATTGAGTGCTTAATGATGTAGGTAATTGAGCTTCCACATGTGACCATGTTGTCCTTTCTGTCAAACAGCTGGTTAATCGCAATCCTGGCTCAGCTCAACCCACTTTTTGGGCCTGCTCTGTCCACTGACACCATCTGGTACCTGAACTATCACTGGCCTTAATTCACCCATCCAGCACTCCTGATCATGCAGGTGAACATCTACCTCTGAAAATAGAAAGTATTGAATCCCCATTAGATGTGAAGTTAATATCTCTGTGTCTCTTATAGATAGTGTACTTTATTCTTGGCATTGTTTCCTCTAACATGTTTCATATTATAATTTCCGTCTGCAGTGGAGGACCCCCTGCTGCTTCATACCAATGAATGTTTGCTTGTCACACCATGAGATCATTCCTTCTGAATTGCCTTAATCTCAGACCCCACCGTGTGGTGCCCACCTTGGTGCCTTGTACAAAAACTATTTCCGAAGGACATCGGAGAAATCCCACCGACTGTGCTTTTCTGAAATACAAGTAACCATCACTTGGTGTTAGTCTGTTTATATTTAATGTATATTGTTGCTGTTGTTAATATGAATGATCGTTCATTTGAATAGTTGATGTGTGTTGTGTTTGATGTTATCTCTTCTTGTCTGGAAATATTAGTGAAGGATAAAATGCATATAAAAGTTGTAAATTAATAAAGTGAAACTGAACTTCATTGGTCTGTACATGTTGTTTTTCATTTTGCCTTATCAAGTAGGTCATTGAAATGTATATATATATTTTGTAAAGCTCATCCAGGTAAAACAATATTGTCTCCATATTAGGTGTCCATCTAAAGAACATCTGCATGTTTGTTTTGTTAGTGTTCTTAAATAATTAATGATACATGTTTTAATTACTCGTTCTTGGATATTCAGTTTTTAATTATTCATAATAAACGTAAACAGCGAAAACATGTGGCCTAAAACAAAGAGAATTTTTTTTTTTAGACAAACTTTAGGGGACAAAATCGAAAGTCGAAGTGGAAAAGCGGGCTTCCTGCTTGCCGTAGCCGACTACGTTGACAACATGGCGTCCACGGATGTCCACGTCCGAATATGTGAACAAGAAATACTTAAATATGATTTGGAAATCAAGGCTCTCGTCCAGGTACGTGTGTTTCTTTGTAAGGATCAATTGATTCTGCAGCAGTATGATCTGTGTGTCGTGTTTGTCATTGAGGAGAATCGTCTTGTTGAGTGTCCTCAGCTGCAGTCAGTCAGCTGTTTAACCCGTACTGTAGGGATGACGTGCTCATGACGTTATTAGTGCTGTAAAAGAGCTTTTACAATATGTCCATGTTCATGTACATGGACTGCTAAATGTGCATATCGAGTAGTTACGACAGTTATATCAGAACTGCACGTAGGCTTAAATAGAGGAAAGTCTTATTCAAACTCATTTCTACTTAGATAAACGTATGCATTCACTTCTTGTGTAATTAAAGAATTGACTTCTTAAATCTAAGCAAATAAATGTTTCATAATGTAGTTTTACTAGAAACATAGAAACGGAAAATCTGTAAAAGATATTGTGCAAATATAGGATATTCATATTTAATAATATATAATACTGTAATTGACATCTTAATTGACCCATCTGTCACATAACTACATTTTACTTATCATGTTACTTCAGCATCTTTTTGCACTGTTCACCACTGCACTGTTTCATGTTTAGTCATGTAAATATTAGTCTTTTCTTATTATGTTTATTGTTGATATGTAATGTTGTACCTGTACATAAGAGAGCACAGTTCACCAAAGTTAAATTCCTTGTGTGTGTAAGCATACCTGGACAATAAATCTGATTCTGATATTAAATAACATAATAGCAAAATGTAGGAAAAGATTAGAAATAAAATTAAAACATTAAACAAATTAACACAAAAATCAGTTTCAAATAAATTAAGTCAATTTGAAATGATTGAAATGCGATATTAATTGGCCAATTTATATTTTCATAGTTTAAGGTTAAAAACAGGATATTAAAATGAATATATAAATAGAAAGTATGATCGTTTGTGTGTTCAGTACATTTTTAAGAGAAATAAGTCAGTCCTTACAGTTTTTAATCTCATTTTACTATTAATGCCTTTCTTTTTTTAACTAAAAAACTATCTGATATGTTGACATGTTGGAAGTGAGATTTTTTTTAGATAATTAAACAAATCTGCAATAATAATGAAAATAAATAGAATGATTGGCAGATTAATTGACAAAAAAATACTTAGAGCTGCTTTTATTTTCTTGCTCCTTCAGTGGTCTTTTTGGCAGCTTATTCCCACCTGATGACAAGATGCACCTCTTGTCTTTTGTAAGATCAGAGCTATGTCTTCTTATTGCTCTGTCAGATAACTTTATTATCCAGAAGTGTCTTTGCAGTCACAAACAACAGCAACATAATGACACATCGTGACACTGTCTCTCTAATCCCTGATCTGATGTCTCACCAGGATATTAACGAGTGTGAAGGCCCTCAAAGCCGGCTGACAGAACTGAACGCAGATGTGAAAAAGAGTTTTCACAATCTCAGATTGCGTATTCAGGTAAGAAACAATATTTTGTGTATGTGTATTGACCTCAGCACATATAAAGGAGATGTGTTGTTTAACAGGATTTAGAGCAGATGGCGATGGAGCAAGACAAAGAGTCTGACAAGCAGAACTTGATGGCTCAAGTGGAGGGACACAGAAAGCAGATGCTCAGGTAATGTCTTTAGTGTGAAATATTATATCATGATCTGACTTTCTCGTGCCTTGTGCTTTCAATTCTGCTAAAAGTGTGGAAGGGAAATGTGAAAGTTGCCTGCTTTAGACTTACATTATGTCATACTTGAAAACGTTTTTATTCAGAGCATTGGGTTGACTCTTGCACTTCTGCACCACTCCAATTACTTCATCAATCGTCTCATTTATTCTGCTTTTATCTCCCTGTGGCATTTTCTTCTATTTGTTTTATTATTAATAATGTTGTTTTCCCCTGCGCTTTTTATGTTCTCTGCTGTTCTATCTCTTGTGTTTTTGTTTTAATGTAAAGTACTTTGTGGTGTTTATCTGTGAAAGGTGCTATACAAATAAACGTACTTACTTTATAGTCATATATGCTTCATCTTTATTTTTATCCATTTTATTTTGCAGTAACCAGACAGTTTGGAGGAAAGCCAACCTGGCCAGCAAACTGTCCATAGACAACATGGAGAAACAGGCTCTACTGAGGGGACCGGACAGTACTACGAGGCAGAGGTGAGCTGACTCATTCAGGGATCAGGCTTTAGAAAACAGCCTCATACATGTCCTCAAAGTTGTGTTTCCTTAAAATAAACCTTTTGAGAAATATTGTTTAGCTCTTTTATACAAACCCCTTAACTATGATGAGAACATTTATATTCATGTTATCCCATTTGATGTCTCTCAGAAAGATGACCAAAGAGGGCCTGGCTCAGACCACCAGTGACATCACAGAGAATCTGATGAGCATCAGCCGGATGATGGCGCAGCAAGTCCAGCAGAGCGAGGAGACCATAACAACACTGGGTGAGTAAAGGAAGGAAACCACTACAAAGTGTGTTGGCTTTTACACCAGAGACGTAGCTTCCTCCTGTGTCAGCTGTGTTGTCATGGATAAGCTGTGGCCACCAGTTACAGAGTAGTGAGCAACAATCTACAGATGATCAGGTCCAGTGGTTTTGATGTATCATCCTCTGCTTTATTTTGAAACCTGTTTTCTCTTCTGTTCAAAGCGACCTCCTCGAGGACGGTCCAAGAGACCAACGATGAGTTTAAGACCATGACGGGGACCATCCAGCTCGGGAGGAAACTCATCACCAAGTACAACCGCCGAGAGCTGACAGACAAGCTGCTCATCTTCCTGGCGCTCGCCCTCTTCCTCGCCACCGTCCTCTACATCCTCAAGAAGAGACTGTTCCCCTTCTTGTAGACCAGGTACCTTCTGAGGACTCTTCCCGGTCCACAAACAGTACTTTACATAGTCAGCCTGAAGGATGTAAACAACTTTGAATGCTGCTTCTCACATCAGTGTCTGCTCAGAGGAGTGTGGACGACTCCCTCTGCTGCTCTGTGATGCTGCACAAAGAGGAAGAGAAACCTACACAGTGTCCAAACAGTGTTTAATTTATTAAAGAGTTTAATTTATCACTAAATAAGAAAGGTTAGCTGTGTGACAGTAATGCTGTGCATTGCTTCTGATGAAATCAGTTGATTTGAATTGATTTATGTAATAGAGACGATAATCCTGTTTGTAGCTCTCACACACCTGAATCAGTGGCTCTAAGTTTCTCTAAACTCTGCCACGAGTGCGGATAATGACAGCTCTGATACTCGTGTTAATCTAAGGGGAAACAATAAAATCTTCTTCTTTTTTTTTAAAGGCAATGACCATTTTAGTTTAACAAGCTTTGATTGGCACACATGATGCCAAAACATTATTAAAGAAGCTTGGAATTGGATGAATTACTGTTATTTAATAGTAGTTATATAGTCTCTGATCTTATTTTCCCTGTGGGGTAATAAAGTACTTTTGGTCTGTAGATTAATTTAAGGAAGCACATTTTGGGATGAATATTTGGACAGTCTTAGGTTTCTAAGTGAGGAGGGTCCCGTTATAGATCCAAACAATGTCATGAAGTAAATTATTTTATTGTGAGTCTAACTGTTATTAATGACCTTGTACTTAAAAAGTAAGGTTGGATTAATTCTAGCATTATAATAACTCTTTTTGGGATTAGCATATTAGGGCAACTTTCAACTTTGACACAATAAAATCCAAAGTGCAGTCACTTAGTTTACACCTCACCAGCTGAACCATCAGATCAGCACATGCACTTATACACATACACCTTGTCCTAATGTTGTATTTGACAAAAAGACCACCACAGGAGAGTGCACACTTCACTCCATCACTGCCCGTGTGAGCCGGGCTCAGTTCAGCGGCCGAGCAGTGATCACACGGGCAGAGATAGAGCAGCATGCATCCCTGCCTTTCTTCAGATAAGACCCGGAAAAGCAGATTAATCCGACCCGTTTCCCTCTCCCTTTTCCAGTGTGGGTGGAGGGTGAGGGAGGGGATATTTTTAGGTTTGTGTGGCGTTGTTATCTGACGTTGCCTTTTCAACACCTTGGGGGGGGGGGGATACATGACCTTGCTCCCCTTTTCTGAAAGCGCCTGGCATTTAATGTTAAATATATGTTGATGCTGTCAGTGTTGATGATCAATAAATTCCAATAATTGTTCGACATCCTCTCCAATGTGTGTTTGTATATTCTTTGAAAGAGAGAGAGAAGACATCAGAGCATGAGTGGAGAGTCCTGAGAGAAGCCTAAGCATCTCTTACTCATTGGTAAGTGGAGGCAGTGGGTTAGAGCCAGTCTGTTCATAGAACGACTCACTTAAACAAGGCCTCTGGCTCTCTGTCAAGCAAATTGGACTATTCTTGCATTTAGCACCGCGATAGTGTCAATCAAGTGTTTTGGTTTCTAGACAAGTGGACCCGGGTCTCAAGGGAGTGTACGCGGCCACAAACTCAGGCTGAGACACAGGAACCAGACTGTCTCTAAGAGATCTGTATTCATGTTTTAAAGTCTTTAGCAGAATCTCTTCCTCTCAGTGTTAAGTAGTATCAGTGCTTTTTCTAATGTGACTACAGGACATCAGCTCAAATTCTCATAAAAGCTTTTTTAAAAAAAGGATGAATCAAATACACTGTCCAAAACTAGATAAATATCCTGGATCAGGTTACATCTTAAATGTGTTCAAATATTTACAAGAAAGATCATTCTGGACCGTTTTTGGCCGGTATTAAAGAAAATACTTTTACACATAAAACAGTTTGTGAAAATCTAAATGTTTGTTGTTCCCCCATATTCAGCATCATGATGACAATTTCAAATCCTTTATAGTGCAGGTCAAGGTCATGACTCTCAGCCATCTCCGTCCCGGCAGCTTGAAACACGACTTCAGACTGTATGTGTGTCTGACAGCAGGTTGTAAAAAGTCTAAACTTTAACAACCGTTTCACCTTGTTAAGACAGATTGAAGGAAGCCTCCTGATAGCCACTTGAGCTTTTTATCCAGACACAAACCACATGTGGGCTTCACATATGTGAAGGTCCTGATTGTAGCTCTGTATAACCAGTTTAACCATAATGTGATCCAAAGTAAGTTTATATTATTTAGTGTATTTTTTTTGTTATTTTATTTTATAAAAGTGTGAGCCACCAAAATAAGAGACAATGATTAATAATATGTAAAGTACTTAGAATAAAAAAATGCACAACACATGATTTATTAACAGGTGATAATAATATAATAAATTAGCATATATATATATATATATATATATATATATATATATATATATATACGTATTTTGCCTATATGGTTATATACTGTATATCTTGGGTTGTATTTTTTCACGTTTGCCCATTGAAAATAGAGTTGGGTTTCTGTTGCACGATCTACCCCATGTGTAAAACAAAAGAAGAATAACAATAAGTCTGGAAGTAACTTGTAAGTTGTTGTGGAATTTAGAAGAAAAAAACATTAAATGAATGCAACTTGTACTTTTTATTTTCACTCACATTACAGGACTATGTGCTGTTCTTACTAAAATAAATAAAATGTCAACTTCTCAGTCAAAAAACTGGTGCTGAAAATAAAGATTGAAAAAGTAAGTTAGTTAATATAAGAGAAGCTAAACAAACTCTTTAACACGTTTAAAACGCATGCATCAAAACTATCCCTTTAAATGAATATGAGCACTTTTTCTTCACCACGTCCTGATGCCATGTAACGAAGAAACTCCGTTACTAGAGGAGAAAGAGTTCTGCACATTGTTCAGGTCTCCCACCCCGAAGTTCATGTAGTTCCCGTTGTTGTTGGATCCCGTCATGGTGGCTGCTGGGTAACTACAGGCATAGTTTGTGTTGCATCCGGGGCCGGTGTAGTTACTGAAGGCCGGATAGTTGTTATAAGTGAAATGGTTGATGTGACCCATGCTGTAAGAGGGGTTGTAGGCCGCTGTGTCCGCCGCCAGGCACGGCTTCCCGTCCCGCACCAGCACCGGCACCGACACCCTCCTGGGCGGCGGCAGAGACACCATCTCCAGGCTCTGGTCCTGCCTCTGCCGCTTACACTTGTACCTCCTGTTCTGGAACCAGATCTTCACCTGGGTCGGGGTCAGTTTGAGGACTCCTGCCAGGTGGTCTCTCTCCGGGGCGGACAGGTACCTCTGCTGCTTGAAGCGGCGCTCCAGCTCGTACACCTGCGCCTGCGAGAAGAGGACGCGCGGCTTCCGGCGTCTGCGCGGCTTTGACCGGTCCGGATCCTCCGGTTTGATCTCCTCCACTGGGACAACTGAAGGACTGAGCTCCTCTGAATACCATAGAGAGAAATATATTTTTAAAAATTACGTTTTTATTTGCGAGGGTGAGTTTTTCAGAGTTCATCCCTGAAGGTGTGGGGTTTTTTTTTGCCGCAAACATCTAGCCTATAGGCCTAATATTATTTATAAAATAAAAAGATATTACACAATAATGCAAACAATAATAAAACACAATGATAGCATCAATCTTTAATTTATTATTTCATATTAAACTTGATTTAGTTGCTAACTGTCCTTTTTCAACAGATTGTTCATTCAGTGAAGGCCAAGGCGTTGAAAAGATATATTTGCATTTTGGTGTTACAAACAAAAAACGTGTGACACGCAATTGAAGACTTTATTTAATCGATGTTATATTCGACAATACAGCTTTGTCTTAAAATTTAAATCAACTTTCACGATCATATAAATTAAATCTTGGTCCTACAAACAACTTTCATCTCTTGTGGCTATTTGTTCTTCATTTCTCAAAAACACAATTAAGCAGCGTAAAAGCTTTTCCTTCATTCATCTTATTGCTTTAGATCTCAGAGGTTTAAAAACCATTTTGCAAATCAAAAACACAAACCTGCGGGCCCTATACTCTAGAGTAGACCTCCAAAAACATATATTTTTAAAAACCCTTTAACTCACCTTTTCTTCTTTTCGCCTGAAACACGTCGGATTTCCCATCCTTCACTAAATCCAACTCCAGGAGAGATTTCCCATAATATGTATTTGCAAAGTTGAGAGCATGGCCTCTGTCTTCTCCAAACAGCGATCCGACGGTGTTTGAGGACGACATGTCCCGGACAGGCTCCTGCTTGAGCCGGGCCAGCATACAGGAGGACGAGGTGGACGAGGAAGAGGTCGGCACGGTGCAGCAGTCCATCCGAGAGGAGACGTCCAGAGAAGACACCAAGGCATCATGACTGTGCTCCAGGTTTAATATGTCTTTTACAGAGAAGGGAGTGGACGTGCTGGGGCTGGGAAACATGGCCAATGACTTAAAAAAGTAACCTATTAACCTGTCTCATTTAGGCAACAAAAAGAGTCAACAAAGCCTCTCTCCTTCCTGGTGATATTTAGGTCTTTAAGTTTTAGTTTGATGGAGTAGACTGATCGTGAGTGAAGTGTGCATTTTGAATGTCAACTCTGTCTCCAAACTTTTCCCTTGGCCTCTCTCTCTCCTCACCGTGACGAAGAGGAGGAGGAGGAGGAGGAGGAAGAGGAAGAGGAGGGAGGGAGCCAGCCATGAGATCCTCTATGGAACACATTTTCCTCCCCCTAATTTCCTGACGTAAAAAGATGTCTGGTATATGTAGGGCCTTGATGATTTAAATCACTGCACATTTACACAACCGTCACACCACTACAGAACATTGTTTTTAGCCAAAAGTAAAGAAAATAGTGATATTTTTGACAGTTTCTTGGTCCTGGTGAAAGTATAGAAGTCACTTCCTGATTTATATTTGGTTTGGTATATTCTTTTCAGTTAGTTATTACGCACAATGCCAACACTTTTCATTTATTACAGCAGCATATTGGCAGATGTGCACACACATCTTCAAGAACTAAGACAGAAAAAAATGAGCTTTGTGTTGATCATAGTCGTGAAATAATGTCAAAAGAGCTGGTTCTGTATTGTTGAAGTTGCTGAGAGGAATTAGCTCAATGTGTTTAATAACGCTAATTGTCCACTGTGACT